CAGTCTTTTTTTTTTCAAGCAATATCTTCCAATTACAGAAAATGAAGGCAGATGCCATTTACAACAGTATTTGCTTTGAAAGCAAATCTCGAGCCCAGTTTGACAGGATCGCTTTCAATCTTAGACAAATCTTAGACATGACTTTAACTGTGTGCCTGCTTTGACCTCTAGACCTAGTCGTTGTGGCAAATTGCAATTATTAAGTAACACATTTTCTTTATTTATCTCACTTTCTTTATTGGCTCTAGCACACACAACACTAACAAGTGCGTCACACACCTCTTGTTCCAGTGCCAAGAAAAATAGTAAATTCTCGACTGATCCTGTGACATAAAACCTGGTCTAAAAGTAGAATTGCTCATGGTAGAATGTCCGTCAACACATGCACAGGATTACATGCTGCTGGATTGAGTTTATGGATGTCATTCTTTCTCATGAAATTAAATTCAAACCATGTCTCAAATGACACTACACTGTGAAAGTGAAAATGGGCAGTTGTTACCTTGAAGAGTTATTTCTTCCTGAAGTGACTCCTTAAATGACTTTCATTGATGTTACCCAGTGTAGAATCAGTCATTTTAAATATATTTAACTTGAATATAGGTAAGTTAAACAAGACGTTTTTTTTCTTTTCTTTTCTTTAGTTTGTAGAAGGCAACAGTAAGTAAGTGAATGTCTTGACTAAACTTGCCAAATTGCTTTAAGTTATCAACTTCATAAAAGTTCTACACAAACTCATGTTTCAGTAAGAATTTTACATGGCAAGCAAAGTGCAATTCTGAAACATAAATAACATCACGTTAAATTTTAAAAGACAACAGCACACAGTCTTTAGCACTTGGTACATAAAACATGAAATGGGTAACAACCATCTGATTTCAAGTACAATCATTATTGTGGCAAACTGGCAGTGCATGCTGGGAAGAAGGTGACTCTTCCCCATAAATGAATGAATGAATTAATTAATTATTAAAATATTATTTTATTTAAAATTTAAATAATATAACCACTAAAAAGCATTAATAAAATCAATCAGTCAATTAATTAATACTTTTTGTGGTTATTTTATTCATATTAATTAATTAATTAATTATTAAAATATTAATTTAATTTAATTTAAATAATATAACCACTAAAAAGCATTAATAAAATCAATCAGTCAATTAATTAATACTTTTTGTGGTTATTTTATTCATATAAAATAAACTGGCCGATATTGATCATTATAATAACTGCTTATTTGACTTTTAAAAAGTCAGAAGTTGTTTAAAATTTAAAATAATAACAAAAAGGGGAAAAAAAACTCACCTACACACTAAATTGCAAGTAATCTTCTGAAATTAATACTCACAATTAATACTTTTAAATATTAAACTTAGCTTGTGACAAACGTATGTTATCATGAATGTGCTGTAATCTTGGTCCCCAAAACCGAGCAACACTTTTACAGGAGATGTGATTGGAAAACACAAAGGTCTGTTGAAAAGCTATCGCATTGTCTCTCATACACTCCAACATGTGCTCTAAAGCTGTAAAACCACAACCAAAGAGCACCTCATTTAAGCTGACAGCCTGGAAACCTTTTTCCTGTTGTGAAATACTTTTCAAGCTCACGACACTGCACATTATTCGCCGTCCTAAATTGGAACTCATTTCGTTTAGCAAAACACCTCCTGCGACAGAATGGGTCACGCTTCAGCTGCCCTCAATGTGTGGGGGCAATAGAGCATGACCCACCACTCACCCATGCCACTGTCACTCCTTGGACTCGGTTCGTAACATCTGCAAAGCAGAGCCACAACATAAACCTTATAAAGGACACCTACTGTAGCAACGCCAATACAAAAGAATGACTGTTGTCACCAGTTCTGTAAACAGTAAGCACAATTACGAGAAACCGCTGGAAATACAGCTTGTTTTTATAGCACGTCTGTAATTTCCTCAACTTTACTCTGGCGGTGAAGAGCAGCCGAAGCACAATGATTTCACAAGACCACATGCTTGATTCTCCACAGAAATAGGTCTTCCCAAAGTTGCAGTATCCAAAGTAGCGGTGGTCTGGCCCTTCTCTGCTATTGTTGCAACTGAAGACGTCTGTGACCTCAGGGGGTCAACAATTATTTGAGGTTTTAGTGCATTAAAAAACCCCCGCAAAGTTAGCGCCATTTCATTTTCATTTTTAGCTACTTCATATTTGCCTCATCCTTGTTATTTACCCAGGCAGGGCCATTTATGTTTGTAACTAAATTCATCTTCTTTTTCTCAGTTATGGTTAAAACCTAACCCATGTCTTTTTATCACAGGTTCTCCACATAGCAGGGTTTTGATAAACTTGTTTAATATAGATTAGTAGCCATCAGTTTTTGCTCAATGTAAGTTTTATATAGGGTGATATCAGGCAAATTGGGCCATCAGGTAAAATGGGCCATTTAAGGTTTGAGCGTCATATCTCTTTAAAAGTTAACAGCCAATGACTGCAAAGAATTTCAAACTGTTGCCATAACAGTACTTGATATTTAGCAAATTATTTTATTGGTCTGAGGTTGCTAAGGGGGAGGGACAATGCCTCATTTTGAGACCAGGCCAGAAAAA